AGGGAGGGAGGGAGGGAGGAAGGAAGGAAGGACATCAACGGCGCTAAAGGCCCTGGCTGCACAAAGGGAAGTTGAACCCAGTCAGCCGACCGGCCGGCGCACATGGAGACTTCAGTGTGGGTCCGGGCACGCGCTGTGTCCACAGGCCGGAGGCCGGGCGGCCCGGGGCGAGGCGGCTCGGCTCTGCGCGCTGGGTGTTTGTGCACGAAAGCTGTGGGCGCAGCCGGGAACCTGCCGGACCCCCGCCCGGACCCCCGCCCGCCAGGGGCTCCACGCCGCGTCTCCAGAGCCTGGCTGCCCGGCTCTGGGGGCAGGCAGCGTGCCGGGGCACCTGCGCCCGCGTGCTTTGGGGTCTGCGACCCCGGAGCAGGGGCGCGGGGAAGGCACGCGCCCCCCTCCCAGGCTGGGTTGGGCCTCCCTGGGTTCCGTGGGGGCAGTACCCTCGGCCACCCTCGGGACTGTGGTTTCCAGGTGAGTCGTCTACACGTGTGCGTCTCCAGGCGCTGCTGTAACAGCGCCACAACCCCACAACCGGGGGGCTCACGAGCCGCGGGAGGGCGTCGGGTGGAGGCGGGGGGGGGCCAGGGGTGTGAAATCAAGGCGGACGCGGCAGGGAGGTCGCCGCTGGGGCTCTGCAGCGGCTGCTGGCTCCGGGCCGGCCTCCCGGCCTCGCTCGCGGCTGCACCTGTGCAACGTGCGCCCTCTGGGTCCCCTCCTCTGTCATGATGACCCCCACGTGTACCCGCTCAGGGCAAAGTCCCCCGGATTAACTATGTTAGCGAAGCCTGACTTCTAAACAAGGCCCCGCCCCGCCCCGAGGCTCCAGGTGGACGGGAATCTGGGGGGACACCACTCAGCCCAGTAAACGTGCAGGTCACAGTCACCTCTCCAGGCCCCCTCCCCCAGGAAGCAGCTGCCGACTGTGCTGCTGGGTCCCTTCACCCCGGACACCCTGACCAGAGCGTCCCCAGCGCTTCCTGGCGGCTGCTGGTACTTCCAGAAGGAGGAGGAGCGAAACGGGAGAGTGAAGTCGTGGGGAAAGGCTAGTAATGGCGGGGGCCTGGGGGAAGGAGAGGACAAGCAAGCCCTTGGCCGGCAGTCTGCCCCCCCGCCCCCCGCCCCCCACAGCGGCAAAGCGAGCAAGAGTCCACGCAGCTGGCCGCCGGCAGGCCGGGCGCGTCCTGAGACACCGAAGTGCAGGCGCAAGAGCTACGAGCTGAGCTTCCCGGCCTTGGCCGTGACGGAGCCGCACCGGCCTCCCCGGGACCCACGGCCCGCAGCGCCACCCGACCGACCGCGGGGGGGGACGCTTCCTAGCACCCGGCGAAGCACCACAAGGCGCCCCCCCCCCCCCCCCCCCCCCGCCGGGCTGGGATGTTCCTGCCAATCTGAGTTCTTCACCATGGAATTTACTGTCCGAGGCTCCTCGCCACATTTCTAAGTAAATAGCCATTTTTGCACCTAATATTTACTCATAACTGTGTATCTGTTTGCTTTTTTTTTAAATTTTTAAATGTTTATTTATTTTTAAGAGAGAGAGAGGCAGAGTGTGAGTGGGGGAGGGGCAGGGAGACAGGGAGACAGAATCGGAAGCAGCTCCAGGCTCTGAGCTGTCAGCACAGAGCCCAATGCGGGGCTGGAACCCACAAACCCTGAGGTCATGACCCGAGCTGAAGTCGGACGCTCAACCGACTGAGCCACCCAGGCGCCCCTTATATCTGTCTTCTTAACGAGAACATCCAAATTCCAAACCCTTCAGGTCCAATAAACCGGGGACTAGCCTGGGCTAATGAAGGATGGCGGAGCTGCCCAGACCCACCAGGCAAAATGTTCAAGCCCCACCCAGCCCTGGGCCCCAGCTGCTGCCTCAGATCATTCCTGAAGACATGCGGGCTTCATTCCAGAGGCTTCTGCTGTCTCCTTGTGATTTATATCGTGCTGTCTAATTAAAAAAAAAAAAAAAGTTTAGCTTTTCACTATACTTAATTTTACAGAAAATAAAACTGAAGAGACCATCGGTAAGAGCAATCCCTTGTTCTTGCTAATCTTCGAGATCTACCTCAGCTCATGGAACAACCCCGGGGGACAGTTGTAAAACCCACATCATCTCCCCGCAGGGGTCTCGTGGTGCTGGTAGAACCTCTCTGGGATGCAGCCTGAGCCTCGATTCCTGAAGCTGCTGCGTGCAGAGGAGAGAACGGGGCCCTGGGACACCCCATCAGAAACACAGAAAAGGAACGGGGGGATTGTGCTACGATACTAAATCCGAAGAGGAAGTGGGCCCTTGTTCTGTCATCCTGGTCAGCTAAGACCCGAAACACACGGCGAAACTCGTGTGAACGTCTCTCAGCTGGTGGATTACAGAATTCCCTCAATACAGCAAAGACAACAAGTTTCCAATTAAAGCTTTTTATTGAACAGATGGAGTTCAGTTGTTAGACGCTACCAGGAAGGCTGAACAAAGTTTTATTCCACTTTAAAACATTTGTTTCCCGTTGGGCGAACACGGGTAAGATCAATGAAGCGTTGAGTTCAGAGACACACTCTGTTCGTGGGTTATTTTGCAGGTTTTCAAACCGTAAACAGTTGTTGTCACTCACAATTCGAGGTCGCTATCCGCTGTGTTGTAAAAAGAAACCAGAAGGAATTGGAGGCTGGTTTCAGGGACATAAGGAGCCCATCCCCCAGCTCCCGTGCTCCAGGCTCCCTCCAGGTCACTGGAAACCCGCAGGGCGCAGCTGAACCCCGCCTGCACCCATCACCCATGTGCCCGCCGTGTCATGTCCGGCCGGCCAGCTCTCCAGCTGCTGGGGACGCCTGGGGAATATCCCTGCCTTCAGGCCAGTAAAAAAAACACATGGATTATCTTGCTGTCGCTACTGTAACTAACAAAAATTCGGTGACTTAAAACAGCAGCAGACTTCCCCTCTAACAGGCGTTAGGTCAGAAGTCCGCAGTGAAGGAGTCAGCAGGGCGGTCCCTCACAGGGGCTGCTGGGGAGGGTGCACAGCGTCACCTTTCCCGGCTTCTAGAGGCACCTGTGCTCCTTGGCTCGTGGACCCTTCTTCCTTTTCCAAAACCCTTCCCTTAATCATGCCTGCAAAGTCCCCTTTGCTGTATAGGGCGAGGATATCTCCCAGGTTCCAGGGATTGGGAAGTGGATGTGTTTTTGTTGGGGGTGTCATTATCCGGCTTCCCACATGTGTGAAGTTCTGGTGACAGAGTCTCCCGGGAAATGAACTCCGATCAAAGACCCACCTGGGCAAGTCCAACTTCGCAGCGTCTCAGACCAACCCTCGGGGGTCTGTGCTCCTGCACAGTGAGCCTCGGATGAGCCACGGCTTCCCTTTCACTTCGCTCACGTCAGGAGATGTGCTCAGCCTTTCTGTTCCATCCCCTTTTGCTGGTAACTGTCTTGTTTCCCATGTGTGACCGGATGTCAAATGTGACTCTTCCTACAGTCTTTGTAGATGTGACAGAAACCTCAAAGTCAAGAACAATGCAATAGGTCCAGATATTCCATCACCCTGGTCGGGGGGCGGGGGCACACCAGCCAAGCAGGACTTGGTGCAGGGAGTGTCCAAAGTGGTCCAGCCAAGATGAGCCCTTCTCCCCTCTCCCTTCCAGGCCATGGGCAAAGCCAACACTGTTCAGAGAGATTGAAGAGGTAGTTGATGAGAAGCTCTTTCGAAAAAGTTGTTGGGGTGCTGGATGTTTGCTCTCTGCTCCCCACTGGGAGCTTGACAAACCTTGAGCCACTTGAAAAGTTTGTCATGAGTCTACTGACCTCACTGTCTGATTTATGCTGGAAACGTGTGTGGCTGAATCACTACAGCACTGGCTGCCCCAGGAGAGTGAGAGGAAGTGGCTGGGATGGGAATGGGCTGCTTCCAGAGTTTTCTGTGGGCCAGATGTAGATCCTGCAGCAGGGAACCAGACTGGATCATCGTGAGGGAGAATCTACCCAAGAGAACCACTTGGGGAAGGGGATCCCAGAACAAGGGCATAGGATAAAGTGTAAGTGGTTAGAGGAAGCATCAGACAATCAACTAAACTGTAGGTAAGAGACAGTAGCCCTAAGAATATTATCTCACAAAAACTTCTCTTGGAAGAAATCAGCATCTGAAATATGCCATATCTCTAGGAAGCCAATGTCGACTCACAGCCATCCTCACGTAAGACCTTTCCCTCCCGAGGCTGCCGTATGCATGTGAAAGTCGCCCTGTGGAGTTTTGCAGTGCACAGCCTGTGGCACTTTCCCATCCCCTGCAACACAACCTTAAGCGCTTGAAACACCAGCTAGCATATGGAGGAAAGGTTTCTGGTTCCTCCTAACATGGAGACTGAGCATGGACTTTCGGATTTCTTACCATATACAAACCTTGGGCTATAGAAAGAAATCTATACAAATCAAAACAACAACAAATAAGCACATGCAAATCCCCTGGGGGACTGGTGTCCCACGTGGGAATGGAGAAGGATGAGAGTGGCTGCCACTGAAACAGAGGGTGGCTGGTGTTGGCTGGGGGAGAACAAGTGGTGGGAAAAGCTATTCAAGCTCTGCTCTGCCGCGGAAATCCTTGGGACTGCCTGGGGATCCTCGTTGCCCAAGACCGATGACGTAGGTGCCCATAGGAGTAAAATCAGGGCAGGACCAGGACCATGCTGAGTGAGGAGTCAAGTGCATCCATTCATTTACTCAACAGATATTTACCAGGTGTTCTCCACGTGCCGAGTACTAATCTGGTAACTGGATACAGCAATGACAAAACAGAAAAAACCTCATGCACCCAGGAGTGGGAGCAGAAGTGCAAAGGTCCTTAGGTGGAGGTGAACGCAAAGAACAGCAGGAGGCCAGAGGGGCCACCATGGAGCAAATAAGAAAAAGAGAATCAAGATACGGGGTCAGAGAAGTAATTAAGGCAGAGAAGTAATGTGAAATACAGTAAGGCTTTCGTTTTTAATGTAAGCAAGATGGAAAGCCAATGAGGACCTTGAGAAAAGAGATATCTATCTGTTCCTGAGAATGAACTGCGGGAGGTCAAGGGAGAGGCTGGGTGAACAGGTGTGAGACGTAGAGCTTTGGATGGACCTAGTGGTGGTAGTAGGACGACGGTAAGTGACTGAATCTTGGACTTATGTTGAGGTACAACCCACAGGATTTGATGATGGATAAGATTTGGGGGGTGAGAGAAAGACATAAGTCAAGGATGACACCAAGGAATTTAGTCTGAGCAATGACAAGAATGAAGTTGCTATTAGCTGAGTTTGAGAGATCTGCAGAAGGAATACTTAGGGAATATTAGGAGCTCCATTTTTGAAAGGTTAAGAGTAAGATGCCTATTACTTACCCCTCTGGACACAGATAAGCAGATCAGGAGTTTAGTTCTAGTCATCAGCACATCGATTATATTGAAAGCAACAAGACTGGATGGTACCACTTGGGGGTAAGTGTAGCTAGAAACAGGAAGTCCAAGGACTGAGGTAAATGAACTAACCACTCTAATGAAAACACAGAGATTTGTAGGATGGTTATATAAACAGCGCCAACCGTATGCTGTCCATTAGAGACACGCTTTAGAGTCAAAGACATAAGTAGGTTGAAAGTACAAGAACTGAAAAAGATATGCGAACAATCGCCGAAAGAGAGATGGACAGCATATACTGATATTCGATAAAATAGACTTTAAGACTAAACAGTTAATGGGGCGCCTGGGTGGCTTAGTCGGGTAAGTGTCCGACTTTCGCTCAGGTCATGATCTCGCGGTTCGTGGGTTCGAGCCCCGCGTCAGGCTCTGTGCTGACTGCCGGCTCAGAGCCTGGAGCCTGTCTCGGTCTGTGACTCCCTCTCTCTCTGACCCTCCCCTGTTCACGCGCTCTCTCTCTCTGTCTCTCCTAGAAATAAAAATAAAACATTAAAAAAAAAAGACTAAACAGTTACTAGAGACAAAAAAAGCACATATTATAATAAGAAGAAGTAAATGATCAGGGGGCGCCGGGGAGGCTCAGTCAGTTTAGCATCTGACTTCAGCTCAGGTCATGATCTCACAGTTCATGAGTTTGAGCCCCATATTGGGCTTGCTGTTGTCAGCCTGTCAGCACAGAGCCTGCTTCAGACCCTCCGTCCCCCGCTGTTTGCCCCTCCCCCCTCTTGCACTCTCCCAAAAATTAAATATATTTTTTTAAAAAAAGAAGTAAATGATCAGGAAGTCATTACTACCATAAACATATGTGTACCTAACAATAGAGCCCCAAAATACATGAAGCAAAAACGCAGAATTGAAGGGAGAAACAGACAATTCAATAGTAATTGTTGAAGGTTTAAATACTTTACTCTCAATAAAAGATGAACAACTGGATGATCAATAAAGGAATATAACTTGAACAGCACCGAAAACCAACTACACTGAACAGACATATATAGTCCTCTCCCTCCAATGACAGCAGAAAATGTATTCTTGTCAATTACATATGG